GCAGGGAAAAGTTTAGAAAAAGAAAATACGACACCAACTAATGTTGTAATGTATCTTCTCTCAACAAAACATACGTCAGAGATGGTGAACGCTGAAAACAGATGTCACTTCTTGAAACCAAAAATTGTAGTGGGTTATAACGTAGGAAAAGCAGCAGTTGATATATCTGACCAAATGAGTGTCTATAATAATCCGTTACGAAAATCCATGAAATGGTATAAAAAGCTAACCTTTGAACTCCTACTAAATACTGCTGTACTCAATGTTCACATTTCACTTAAAAACTAGTGGCCCGGTGCATGAAATTCATGCACATTAAAAGAGAATTAGAGAAAAATAAAATAAAAATAAAAATAAAAGGGAATTAGAGGAAATATTTTAATATTGCTATTTGACCTTTCTCTATAATAGAAGTGTGAGAGATGAAAGGAAATCACTAAAATGTATGAGAATATATAAATTTATTAATAAACAGTAACAAAAGGATATAACAGAGGCATGACATAAAAACAAAAACATGATATGAAAACAAAAACATCATATAAAAACAAGTTATGCAAACAATGACTAATAAAGTGAGTAAACTTATCCTAATATCTCCCTGTACACCACATTAAGAGTGAAAACACTTTCAGAGTGCTTGACTAATTTCCCTTTTGATGAATTATTTACAACTTTAACGTCACATGCTCTTCGAACTCCTCGAGAGAAAACATATAACTGACCATGTGCGAAAACAGGTTCAGGTAGGAACATGCCTACTCCGTCTAGAGTTTGTCCTTGTGATTTTTTTTTTAAAATATGTTTTATTGATTTTTTACAGAGAGGAAGGGAGAGGGATAGAGAGTTAAAAACATTTGTACGTGAAGCATATGAGGAATCTAGCAGTTTCGCTAAAAAGATTTAAAGTAAATGGTTCTCGGTCTCCTCTAGTGTTGTTATGACTGAGGAAATGAAACATTCCCAACATCCCAGCATCTAAAGAGGTTAGATTTGAGTCTAAAAGAATCCCCACATCCAGTACACCCATAGGCTTTTCTCCAGAATGAACTCTCCAGTGTTGAATCAGGTTGGAACATTGTCTAAAGAATTTCCCACAATCACTACATTGCAAAGGCATTTCTCCAGAGTGAACTCTGTAGTGTTGGAAAAGGATAGAGCTTTCTATAAAAAAACTTCCCACATTTGCAATGGCCTGTTTGGCTCAGTGGATAGAAAAGTAAGCCTGCAGACTGAAGGGTCCCAGATTCGATTCCGATCAAGGGCACATGTCCAGGTTGCTGGCTTGATCCCCAGTAGGGGGCGTGCAGGAGGCAGCCAATCCATGGTTCTCTCTCAACCTTGATGTTTCTCTCTCTCACCCTCTCTGTTCCTCCCTAAAATCAATAAAATTATATATTTAAAAAAAAAAAAAAACCTCCCACATTCACTACACGCACACGGCTTTTCTCGAGTGTGACATCGCTGGTGTTCAATGAGGAGAGAGGTTGTCACGAAGGACTTCCCACAAACACTACACACATAAGGCCTTTCACCAGTGTGACCTTTGAGGTGTTTACTGAGCTGAGACCTTTCTGTGAATGACTTTCAACAATAACTATACTCATATGGCTTTTCTTCACTGTGAGTGCTTTGATGTTGAATGAGTCTATGTTTATAACTAAAGCATTTTCCACAATCACAACATTCATACGGTTTTTCTCCGGTGTGAACTATCTGGTGGAGAACAAGGCCACAAGTATTGCTATAGGAATTCCCACATTCACCAGTCATAAGGCTTTTTTTCCAGAATGAACGTGATGGTGATAACTAAGACTGCTGCGTAGTCTAAAGCATTTCCCACAAATACTGCACTCAAAAGGCTTTTCTCCAGTGTGACATCGCTGGTGACCAATGAGGATAGAATTACGGCTGAAGGACTTCCCACAATCAGTACACTGATATGGCTTTTCTCCAGTGTGAACTTTCATATGTTGGAGGAGGATATTGTTTTGTCCAAAGGTTTTCCCACATTCACTGCACTTATAAGGCTTTTCTCCAGTGTGAACTCTCTGGTGAATACGGAGGTTAGCTTTGCGTCTAAAAAACTTCCCACATTCACTACACTCATAAGGCTTTTCTCCAGTGTGACCTTTGTGATGTTCCATGAGCTTAGACCTATGGCTGAAGAACATTCCACAATCACTACATTCATATGGCTTTTCTCCAGTGTGAATTTTCTGATGTTGAACGAGTCCACTGTTATAGCTAAAGCATTTCCCACAATCACTACACTCATATGGCTTTTCTCCAGTGTGAATTCTTTGATGTCGAGTGAAGGTAGACCTTCTGCTGAAAGATGTCCCACAAACACTACACTCATAAGGCTTTTCCCCAGTGTGACCTCGGTGGTGTTCAAGGAGTGTTGAGCTCTGGCTGAAGGACTTTCCACAATAGCTACACTCATATGGCTTTTCTCCAGTGTGAATTCTCTCATGTTGAATGAGTCCATTTTGATAGCGAAAGCATCTCCCACAATCACTACATTCATACGGCTTGTCTCCAGTGTGAACTCTCTCGTGGTTATGGAGGTAATCTTTGCGTCTAAAAAACTTCCCACATTCACGACACTCATAAGGCCTTTCACCTGTGTGACCTCTGCGGTGTTCAATGAGCTTAGACCTATGGCTGAAGGACATCCCACAATCACTACACTCATATGACTTTTCTCCAGTGTGAACTCTCTTGTACTGAATGAAGCTAGAGCTTTGGCTAAAGGATTTCGGACAATCACCACACTCATAAGGCTTCTGTCCAGTGTGAAGTCTCCTATGACGTGTGCAGTCTCCTAAGGCCTTCCCACATTTGCGACACTCAAAACGCCCTTTTCCAGAGCAGACGCTCTGCTGTTGAACAAGGTTCTGGTTGTGGAAGGCAGCTGTTTTACACTCACCCCACTCGTGATGATGTTTTCCACTAAGAACGGCCTGCCCACTCTCAGGACCACTGTGTGGCTCCTCAGTGTGAAGAGTGTCCTGGTGCTGAAGAAGGCCTGCGATGGCTGGGAAATCCTCCTCTACCTCCCGATACGTGAAAGGCTTCTGTGATGCATAGAAGCTGCACCTGGTCAGCAACGAGGCCCAGTCCATAGCTTCGTTCCAAGGCTTCTCTCCACTGGCTTCCCTCTGTTGCTGGGGAGGGTCTGCACTGAAACAGAAGTCTCTCACACACGCGTCACTGAAGAAGGCTTTCTGCTCAAAGTCTGCTGCTTGTGACTCAGTCAGGTGCAGAATAGCTTTTAAGACTGAGACACACCGGTCACAAAGATGGGTCTTCTGGGTTGGTAGAGCTGTCTTAGAAGCCTTGACCTGTGACTCTGCTGTTACAGATACACTCTGCTTGGAAGAGGTCTCCTCATCTTCACTTTTATGCCAACAACCTGAAAGCAGAGAAACGCTGAGGTAGCGGTGTTGGCTGTGGTGGGAGGAGCAAGTCCCATTACTAAGGTTTGTCAGACTCCATATGTTGGTTTCATGGGATCATCTGAAAATAGAGCCCTGGAGGCAGGTTGAATAATGTGCTGCTGAGCAGTACTGGGCTTCTGAAGATCACAAAATAGGGGAGACCTCCCCAGGAAAAGGACACAGAGATGGCAGGCAACCACATGGAATAGAAACAGCATCTCCAACTAATTCTTCTGCTGAAAGCATTCAGAAGGGCTTGTCTAAGGGTGGAATGGGCAAGCTGTCCAGAAGGTTGGTTATGTTTTACCCCCAGTAAAATTCAGGAAGTGAGGAGCTGGTGTCTATGCACTTGCTAAGGACACATGCACACCTCATAACATATGCAGAGGTCAATGCTGGAACATACGCCAGAGGAACGAGTGCAGAGGAACAGCTGATGCCGGGAGACCACAAAGGAGAAGGTAGCCAGGAGCTGAGAAGTCACCGATGAAATGACAAGTTACCAAAGGATCAAATATGGGAAAGAAAAAATGGAAATGTGCTGTGAGCAGGGGCACTTGCACCACAACACTATCGGACACAAGCAGAATACGGGCATGATTGGAACAGCCCTTAGGTCAGGCTCTTGCCCAGGGCCAGCCTTCTCCTGAGATCATCTTTCTATGTACGGCCTGTGACAGAAGCAGGGTTTTCCCTGCACCTTCAATGAAACAACTACTCAGAACCTGAATGATCCAAGTCTTAATGACAGACAACACACATAAGCAGCCACTACTGGCCCAGAGCCAACTTGACATACGATAGTGTTCAGGGAAGACAATATTACAAACAATTGAGGTAGATCTGATAAGTACAGTCCATGGTTCATATAAAGAATGACCATGACCTGGCACAGGAAGTCACAAAGGATTGTTAGCTAACGGAAGGGGCCAGAACCAGAAGCCATGAATCTGGGCAGAGTCACCCTTCCAGGCAGAGGGTGAAGACGGGGCATGTACTGGGCTGTCTGAGCCGAGGCCCATTCTCTGAACTTTTTGAGGCAACAGATGTAAGGGATGCTCAGAGTGTTCCCGGCAGGGGGCACTCACACCACACAACTCAGCACAAGCAGCCACAGCACGTATGACAACGAAGTGCGGAAATTAGCAGAGCCCATGGTCTGGCTGAGGGACTAAGCTACTTCAGGAGGGAAAACGAAAGGGAGGCCACAACCTAGGACAGTGATGGCGAACCTATGACACCTCTGACTAGCTACTTCAGGAGGAAAAACGAAAGGGAGGCCATAACCTAGGACAGTGATGGCGAACCTATGACACGTGTGTCAGAGGTGACACGCGAACTCATTTTTTTGGTTGATTTTTCTTTGTTAAATGGCATTTAAATATATGAAATAAATATCAAAAATATGTCTTTGTTTTACTATGGTTGCAAATATCAAAAAATTTCTGTATGTGACACGGCACCAGAGTTAAGTTAGGGTTTTTCAAAATGCTGACACGCCGAGCTCAAAAGGTTCGCCATCACTGACCTAGGACATGAGTAGTGTGAAGGTCTTACCAACAGATGCTACAAGTGCAAAGTTCTCCAGCATCACCTCGCAGTGCAGCAGTCTCTGAGCCTCATCAAGGAGCCCCCACTCCTCCTGGGAGAAGGCAATGGCCACGTCCTCAAAGTCCATATCCTGTCATAATGGCGACAATTCAGTTCATGACCAGCTTCACTCCTAGGACTTTACATTCCTCATACCACCCAGCCTCCACATCCATCTGCTCCCTCCTCCCACATCAATGACACCAAACCCTGCTATCATTGGAGTCACTCACTTCTATATTCCCATTGATACTGTGTCTTCCCACAATAACAGGCAGAGGGGCAGAGAGATGATAACAGCTCTGCGCGTGGCATGTAGGCCACACTGCCCCTTGTTAACACAGTGGGTGTCACAAACATACAGAGAAGTTGGCCACAGAGAGTGTGTGAGTGATGAGACACTCAAGTTGTCAGGCAATACCTGTCTCCAATACATAAAAACCATGGCATCACCCTTCACCCTGGCGACCCAAATCCCTTCCCTTTACAGTACCCTCCGCACATAATTATGTGAATCACACCTCTCTCTCACAGCTACATTCCCAGAAGCACAGCTTTAAAGGAAAGTCAAACATGCCCTGACAGGGACAATTTTTCAATGATTCGCTTCTTTCCCAGGATTATAATTTTACCACCTCCCTAATCCAGCCCCTGCTTCTCCTTCTCCCTTCCCTATGCCAGGGGAGATTTCCAAGCCTGGGTGGCACTGAGGTCTGCTATCTCATCGAGGCCCTACTGATCACTGTATCCGCCCTCAGCAACAGGCAGGAAGGGACATAAATGACATCGAAGCTCCGGGCCTGGCATGGAGGACCACAACACCCCCTCCTTCCAGGCAATTCCCCGGGGAGCGACATGGCGTTTCCACCAGATACAACAGACATGGGCTCGCCCTTCATTCACTCTCATGTCAATGCCAGGGCCCTGTGGCCGTGAGTTCACACGCCCTCTCCACGCGCACATCACTGTCCCGACCACACCTCTCCCGCCTGCACGCCCACCGCCCGGCCCCTCCTGTGCGGCACCACATCATCTCCTTGGCCTCTCTCTTCACTGCTCAGCAGATGGGGTCCGGAGAACGTTTGGAAAATTCTAAGGGGATCGAGCACTGCCCGGGCTCTGATGGTCCACATCACAGAGGCGGCCGGAGTCCTGCTCCGAAGGCCTCCCTCCTGACTGTTCCTTGTTCCCACGTCACATTGGCTCTCAGGTGCCCACAGCCTCCCCACTGGTGCTGCACCTCATGTCCCTTCACAGTCACAGCTTCCCTCTCCTCACCCCACCCAGGCCCAGCCCCAGGGGCCCTCTAGCCTGTGCCCAGTGAGTCTTCCAGATGATCACATGTGCCCCTAAGCTAACAGCCAACCTGACGGCCACACCCCAGCCACACCAAGGGTCACACCAATGTTCTGGAGAGTCTTGAAAGCAGTGAATATGCACCAGCCCTCCTCTCATCTTGTGTGAGTTACTCTTCCACCCTCATCTGTTCCACATCCCTCGTCCCTTGGAGGCCTTGTCCACTTGCCAAACCAGTCTCTCCCTTACCCTCCACATGACCACTTCTGTCTGTCACTTACATTGTGACACCCACTTCCCACAACCAGGGTTCCAACAGGAACCCAGTCCTCAGGCCCACGCTCCTCATCCTGGGCTATTACCATTAACATTCCGACCAGGATTCCCCATATTAACGTGAGCTGCAGCTCCTCCCGGGTCCACACACTCTCCACTTCCTTTTGGAGAAGTCTCCATCCTGAACACCTCCTCAGAATTCCAGACAGCTATGAACTCTCTCTCAAAAATCTCATACCCTCATCAGGCCAAAAATAAAACTCCCGATATCCTCAATGAATACTGCTCTTCCTTCAGTGTGTTTCACCATCTAAATTGAAGTGCTTCACTTCCTCCAAACCTTCATGTCATCCCTGGCTCCTACCTCTCTCTATGTCAACCTTAAAATTAGAAAATGCAGCCCTAGCTGGTTTGGCTCAGTGGATAGAATGTTGACCTGCAAACTGAAAGGTCCCAGGTTCGATTCCAATCATATACCTGGGTTGCGGACTCGCTTGCGTGCAGGAGGCAGCCAATCAATGATTCTCTCTCATCATTGATATTTCTATCTCTCTCTCCCTCTCCCTTCCTCGCTAAAATCAATCAAAAATATTTTTTAAAAAAAGAAAATGCAGAAGGCACCCTGGCCGGTTTCCTCAGTTGGGCGGAGCGTCGGGCCCCATACACCAAGGTTGGGGGTTCAATCTCCCATCAGGGCACATACAAGAATCAATCCGTGAATGGATAAATAAATAGAACAACAAATCAATGTCTGTCTGTCTGTCCCTATCTCCCTAAAATAAGTAAATAAAGCTTTAAAAAAAATCCTGGCATCTTCACTCAAAACCCTAACTTATAATCAAAATGCTTCTCTCACCTCCATGGCCACCACCCTGGCCCAGACACCATCACAATCACTCCGACTACTGCAGCAGCCTCCTCCCTGTTCGTTCTAAGCTGCAGCCACATGGATTCTCACGAGACCGGGGTCAGATCACCTGCCTCCACTGCTCCAGGCTCCCATCACCGGCAGAACCGACAGCCAACTTGTTACAAAGCTGCTCTAGACCTGACTCCTCTCCCACTGCCCCCAGTGCCCATGGGAAGAAAGGACACTTGCAGGTTCCAGAACTTGCTCAGTGTCCCCTCTAAGCCATTGCACATTCCGGTCCCTGTGCCTGGGAGGACCTCTCACATCTCATTCCACTCGTTGCCAAAAACAGGGACCACATCCTATAACCCTAGACCTCGACTTAGGATTCTGGCCTTGGTGTCTGTTCAAGATCCCCAGGCCTACGAGCTGGAAGAGAGGCTGGACAGCCCCAGGACACCACGACCTCAGAGGCCACAGGAATGTGAGGCCCTGAAATCAGCTCCACAGCCCAGTCCTCTCAGTGGCTCTGCCCCCGCAGGAACCGGTGGGAACTAAAGGGCTGTTGAGGGCCTGGCACCCACCCCAGGACCCAGGGGCTCCGGCTGCTCAGGGCCCTGGCCCAGCCCCGGGCCGGGTGATGCCCGCCTCCCTCGGGGCTCAGTCCAGTGCGCACCTGCCAGTGACCTCATCACCTACAGGGTCCTCCTTCCAGTCCCTCCTGCTGGCCTCTCTCTCCCTTCTAGTCTGTTCTTCCTCTGGGAAGTTTTGGGAAAACTTGAGAATCCCTGCCTCACACAATGTCCCTGTTTTGTTCACATCCATCCATGGCCCGGCGCCGTGAGAATAAAAGTAAAACTCCTCACGCACACCTCTGCCTCACTTTCTCTGTTGCCTTTAGAAACAAAACAGGGCCCAGGTTTCCCGAATCTTCCAGCTTAGCAGCCCCTGCACGTGTTCACCCGGTGGCCCCTCCCCCTCTCCCACCCCCGTCACACCGGTGTCACCCAGTAACGCCTCCCGGTCCTGAGGTGGGGCCTGGGCTGCAGGGTTGGGTGGGGGACGTGCTCACCTCAGCCTGGCGCCTTGGCGCTGCCACAGCCACCGAACTCTGTGGGCAGAGCCCAGTCTGTGAGGCTGGAAGGCCTGAACCCCAACAGTAGCGGCTCAGCAAGTCTCGGACCAACTAAAGGGACGGCCGGGCACCCACCCCAGGACCCAGGGGCTCTGGCTGCTCAGGGCCCTGGCCCAGCCCCGGGCCGGGTGGATGCCGCCTCCCTCGGGGCTCAGTCCAGTGCGCACCTGCCAGTGACCTCATCACCTACAGGGTCCTCCTTCCAGTCCCTCCTGCTGGCCTCTCTCTCCCTTCTAGTCTGTTCTTCCTCTGGGAAGTTTTGGGAAAACTTGAGAATCCCTGCCTCACACAATGTCCCTGTTTTGTTCACATCCATCCATGGCCCGGCGCCGTGAGAATAAAAGTAAAACTCCTCACGCACACCTCTGCCTCACTTTCTCTGTTGCCTTTAGAAACAAAACAGGGCCCAGGTTTCCCGAATCTTCCAGCTTAGCAGCCCCTGCACGTGTTCACCCGGTGGCCCCTCCCCCTCTCCCACCCCCGTCACACCGGTGTCACCCAGTAACGCCTCCCGGTCCTGAGGTGGGGCCTGGGCTGCAGGGTTGGGTGGGGGACGTGCTCACCTCAGCCTGGCGCCTTGGCGCTGCCACAGCCACCGAACTCTGTGGGCAGAGCCCAGTCTGTGAGGCTGGAAGGCCTGAACCCCAACAGTAGCGGCTCAGCAAGTCTCGGACCCGCCTCAGCATGGCAGGGACAACCCTCTGGCGCTTCCCCATCACGGCCTGTTGCTTTGGAGCCTCTGACTTGGTGAACCACCCTGAAAGGCAAATATGAAGCTTCTGAGGGCACGGGAAGTCCCACCCTGACCTCCCCAGAACTGGGCACATTCTGTTATGCCCAGATTTCAGGATCCCCAAGAAATCACATCAGGGAGCCAGCCAGTCCGATGCAAAAGCATAAGAGTCTTTATTCGAGCTAGCTCGGCTCCCCCACCTTGCCGACGCAGCGACAGGAAGCAGAGAGAGAGAGAACTCTGTGTGGAGAGGGGTTTTATAGGGGGTTGGAGTAAGGGGAGGAGAAAGGGCTGTGGCCTTGACGATTGGCCAGGCGCAAGTCGGTGTCTTGTTCCTGGGTGTGGCTAGCAGAGGCTTAGACTTCCAGGAAGCTCTGACTTGGTGAACCACCCTGAAAGGCAAATATGAAGCTTCTGAGGAGGGCACGGGAAGTCCCACCCTGACCTCCCAGAACTGGGCGCATTCCCCTCTGGGTAATGTAGTTTTCTCAACCAGGGGCATCAGTCATTGACCTTAAGAGATTTAAGGTATTGTGCCAGCCCGCCCTGGCAGGTTAGAGCATCCCACCAACGCACCAGGGTTCCATCCCAGTCAGGTTACATACAAGAAGCAACCAATGAATGCATACATAAGTGGAGCAACAAATTGACATTTTTCTCTCTCTAAAATCGATACCAAAAATTTTATTTATCCAT